GTTTTGACATTTTTTGACAAAAAATTTAAATTTTTGATTTATGAAATTCTCTCATTAAATACAACTCGTGCAATGGAAATATATTTATAATTTTCGACAAATTTGCACTCATACGTTTTTAACTGAAAAAGGCACTCGTGCACTACGTGCACTCGTACTCTTTTTCAACTAAAAATACATTCGGGCAAATTTCCCAAAAATTATCAATAATTTCCATTGCACTAGTTATATTACTATTGATTATATTTTATTTGTTTCATTTTCCTTTTATCTATAATATATAAGAACAAATTGTGAATTATAGTTAATTTCATTAATTTGAAATTCTATAATTAATGCAAGTTTGTTGTATTTTGGACCCGTAAATTGAAGCACCAACAATATTAATAAATTGTTTGAATTCCGAGAGGAAACGCTTTTCATGAATAAATAAAATTTGTTTTTTGATTTTCAGGTTTTTTTAAAAATCCATTCTGGATATGATCTGCAATAAAAATAATTGGCTTATGAATTTGATGGCGAACAAATAAAACGAATTTTAATCCAACAATTTGTTGGCACATAAAAAATTCAAGTTTGAGATTTACCCAGTAAAAATTTGCTTTGCAAGTGTCACATTCATATTGCCTTTTTGTTTGAATTTTGCTTTGCAAGTGTCACATTCCTATTGCTTTTTCGTTTAAAGTTTACTTTAAAAGTGTCACATTCATATTGTAATTTTGTTTAAATTGTGTAACTACTTATAATAGTTCATATTTTGATTATTACCGGCTCTTGATCACCCTTGGAAAAATGATGTAACAAATGGAAATTTTACTTGGTACTTGATTAGCGCAAGAAGAAGTTTGAGATTTACCAAGTAGAAATTGTTTAAGTTTTACTTTGTAAGTGTCACATTCATTTTTCCTTTTCGTTTGAATTTTGCTTTGCAAGTATCACATTCATATTGCATTTTTGTTTAAATTGCGTCACTACTTATGATAGTTCATATTTTGATTATTATCGGCTCTTGATCAACCTTGGAAAAATGATGTAACAAATGGAAGTTTAACTTAGTACTTGATTAGGGCAAGAAGAAGTTTGAGATTTGCCAACTAAAAAGTTTGCTTTGCAAGTGTCTTATTCTTATTGGTTTTTCGTTTAAAGTTTACTAGTGTCATATTTATATTGTCATTTTGTTTATATTGTATTTCTACTTATGATAGTTCATATTTTAATTATTACCGGCTCATGATCACCCTTGGAAAAATGATGTAACAAATGGAAATTTTACTTGGTACTTGATTAGGGCAAGAAGAAGTTTGAGATTTACCAACTAAAAAGTTTGCTTTGCAAGTGTCACATTCGTATTGGTTTTTCGTTTAAAGTTTACTAGTGTCACATTTATATTGTCATTTTGTTTAGATTGTATTTCTACTTATGATAGTTCATATTTTGATTATTACCGGCTCTTGATCACCCTTGGAAAAATGATGTAACAAATGGAAATTTTACTTGTTAGTTGATTAGGGCAAGAAGAAGTTTGAGATTTACCAACTAAAAAGTTTGCTTTGCAAGTGTCACATTCGTATTGGTTTTTCGTTTAAAGTTTACTAGTGTCACATTTATATTGTCATTTTGTTTAGATTGTATTTCTACTTATGATAGTTCATATTTTGATTATTACCGGCTCTTGATCACCTTTGGAAAAATGATGTAACAAATGGAAATTCTACTTGGCACTTGATTAGGGCAAGAAGAAGTTTGAGATTTACCAAGTAGAAAGTTTGCTTTGCAAGTGTCACATTCATGTTGCTTTTTCGTTTAAAGTTTACAAGTGTCACATTCATATTGCCATTTTGTTCAAATTGTATTACTACTTATGATGGTTCATATTTTGATTATTACCGGCTCTTGATCACCCTTGGAAAAATGATGTAACAAATGGAAGTTTCACTTAGTACTTGATTAGGGCAAGAACAAGTTTGAGATTTACCAAGTAGAAAGTTTGCTTTGCAAGTATCACATTCATATTGCTTGTTCGTTTAAAATTTACAAGTGTCACATTCATATTGCTATTTTGTTTAAATTGTATTACTACTTATGATGGTTCATATTTTGATTATTACCGGCTCTTGATCACCTTTGGAAAAATGATGTAACAGATGAAAATTTCACTTGATACTTAATTAAGGCATAAAAAAGTTTGAGATTTACCAACTAAAAAGTTTGCTTTGCAAGTGTCACATTCGTATTGGTTTTTCGTTTAAAGTTTACAAGTGTCACATTCATATTGCCATTTTGTTTAAATTGTGTAACTACTTATAATAGTTCATATTTTGATTATTACCGGCTCTTGATCACCCTTGGAAAAATGATGTAACAAATAGAAATTTTACTTGGTATGTATTTGATAAGGGCAAGGAGGAGTTAGTGATTTACCAAGTAGAAATTATTTAAATTTTACTTTGTGTCACATTCATTTCGCATTTTCGTTTGAATTTTGCTTTGCAAGTGTCACATTCATATTGCCATTTTGTTTAAATTGTGTCACTATTTATGATGGTTCATATTTTGATTATTACCGGCTCCTGATCACCTTTGGAAAAATGATGTAACAGATGAAAATTTCACTTGATACTTAATTAAGGCAAAAAAAAGTTTGAGATTCACCAAGTAAAAATTTTGCTATGCAAAGTTACATTCATTTTGCCTTTTCGTTCAAATTTTACTTTGCAAGTGTCACATTCATTTTGCCTTTTCGTTTGAATTTTGCTTTGCAAGTGTCACATTCATATTGTCATTTTGTTCAAATGGGGTAGTATACAAGTGATTTTTAACTACCATATAGTCATATACTGGACGTATCGTACTATTTAGTGTAATCAGTTGCTTTGTAAAAACCGCAATAGGCTGGAAGTATTTTTTTTAAATTTCCTCTTAGCCCCGCCCCTGCGTGAAAATAAAAGTTCGTGACGTAGTTAGTTTTTCCAATCTGGCAACACATCACGGTTTTGAGAACGTACAATTTGCACTGACATTGACCGTCAAGAACGAAACCTCAAATTTGCTACATTAAACAACGAACAAAGTTATTGTGACAATGTCACATATCACACAATTCACACGACACCACATGTCGTTGAACTGTTGAAGTCAGCTGTCATATTGAGCAGCGTTGCCAGATGGTCAGCGGCTTGAATACTATTGGTCGCCGCTGTGGCGCTAAATTCAAATTACAGTTTTTTTTTCTCTGACTAATCTATAGACATTATGCTGGAAAATAATTCAGTATCCCACTATACCATCACCATTTAGCCTATAGAATAATGTCGAGTAGTTTTTTTACTGATTTTTTTACATAGTATACTACCCCATTGTGTCACTACTTATGATGGTTCATATTTTGATTATTACCGGCTCTTGATCACCTTTGGAAAAATGATGTAACAGATGAAAATTTCACTTGATACTTAATTAAGGCAAAAAAAAGTTTGAGATTTACCAAGTAAAAATTTTGCTTTGCAAAGTTACATTCATATTGCTTTTTCGTTCGAATTTTGCTTTGCAAGTGTCACATCACATTGTCACTTTCATCTTGCGTTTTTTTGTTTAAATTGTGTCACTACTTATGATAGTTTATATTTTGATTATTACCAGCTCTGGAAAAATTATGTAATAAATGAAAATTTAACTTGGTAGGTACTTGATTAAGGCAAGAAGATGTTTAAAATTTACCAAGAAGAAATTATTCAAATTTTGCTTTACAAGTGACACATGCAAATTGAATAAATGTGATTCTTCAAATTGTCTTTTTGCTTTACAAGTGTTACACTCAAAAAAAAAACTCAAAACCCCCTACGAGTTTTCTAACGACTCTCAACAAAATGACTTTCATATTAAATTTTGAACAAAGCGTCTTTGTGCGAACTCTGGAAACTACCGTCCATGACTAATTACGCTCTGGCTGTAATAATAAGGTTCAAGCTCATTTAAGCCGAGCTAAAAATTAATAGAGATAACCGTTTACAACTAAAAATAACGAATTGTTGTTTTAATGGGTATTTTTAGGTTAAGTCTTTTTTCCTCAATGACTTAGGAAAATAAGATTTTGGTGTAATCTGAGTACATGCAACTGTGGACTTTAACTGTAATTAATTGAAACTTTTAAATTACCATTTTTATTATTTTGAAGTATAAATTTTTCAGTTGTTAGGCAAATCCGATTTTCCGACATTAAATTGAAAAATTCATTTTCAGGAATATTCATATATTTTATATTTTTGTTACAGGCATTTTAATTTGAATTTTTTTTTTCCTTTTTTCATATAGAATTGAATCTCTTTTATTATTAAAATCCATTAGAAACGTCATCGATTCAAAACGACAAAATGCCAATAATATACGTATTATTACCGATGTAAAATCCAATCAGTGTAAAGTAATTTTTATCACAGGCACATAAATCAAATAAAAACATAAAGTTAAGGTTGCTTTGGATAACTTAATTAAATGTGAACCCCTTAATTAAAATCAGTTTTGGCTTTGGCTTTCTCCCTGACATGCTCCGAAAAGCAAATTTAAACAAAAGTCGCCGGGACTAATTTAAAAATAGCGCCAAAAGAAACCGCTCGTTGCACACTTGCGGCTCCGGACAATTAGGCAAACTTCAAAAGCGGTTGCGGTTTACGTAAACTTTACGAAACAATATTCGTCACCTGATGCAGTCAGGGCTCGTTTATTTTTTGTTCACTTTAAGAACCGCTTTTTCGTATAACAGAAAATACGACCCTAATATAATTTTACAAAATAAACATTTAGGCCTGATTCACTGGCACTATACCGTCAATGATACGTCAAGATTTTTCGAAGAGAGTAACGCATAGTATGAATCGAGCTTTATTAAATGTTGCAAAACTTATTAATACTCTACTAATTCAATTCAATTACAATGCATTTCCAATTACAATTTCGCAAACTACATAAATCATACCACCACAAACTTATTAGCATATTTCCCTTTTGTTTCCAGAATGATGCTGGTCATATGTCCCATCCTGCTTATGCTGGGTCATCTGCAGGAAGTGGCGGCGGGAGCCGCGTGCCGGATCAGCGAGTTTCCTTGCCGGAACGGCAAATGCATTCGGCTGAACGGTTATTGCGACGGTCGGGACGACTGCGGCGATTTGTCGGACGAACCAATGTATTGTACAGGTAATTTTTGATTCAAATTATAAATCGAGAAAAGGTCTGTCAATAATTGTATAACATGAAAAATATTATTCAAAATAAAGTAAAGTTGCTGAGTAAGCGGTACTGTCTGGAAAAGTACCGTCATATCAAGGTTTCGCCCACATGATTGCAACCGTCAGCAGTATTTTATTATAAATACGGCGCACAGAGTCTTCTTACCTCATTCATTTGCATTGTAGCTTAGACTATAGCAATTTAGAATGAAGATTCTTTTGTTATCGGCTTTTTGTCGCAGCAATTAAAGTCTAGTATTTCTTGTTGTAACTTCTTAGTTTTCAATAAAATAAATAGTTTTTAAAAACAAGATTTACTGAACGAAAAATATAATTTTTGGTTTGGACAATAGTTTGAAACAAACCTCCAAAGTAAATATAAGCAGAAATATTTCAACTAATTGTCAGGGGCAATTATTTAAAACGTACGAAAACAAACAACGCTACGTAATAATATTCGTATGTATGCGCATACATTAAAACGGGAAAATATATTATTCTCTGCCGGTTTTGTGGGGAAAACGAAAATATTATTTGGTGGAAATGAATCGTAATGAATGGGACAAATACAACGAGGAAATTTTGTGGAAATTGAGGGTGAATGTTTCGGGATAAGTACTGGATGATTTTTTTTGGATATTTCACAATGTTAAGATCAAACATCAACTACATATTTTTGATCAAAAGGAATTTTACCTTATTTCAAAGGAAAACTCATTCTCAATTAATATCAGACACAGGTGATTCCACAGGAAGTTCCGTAATTTTAGTTGGAAATCTAATGTCAACTTCCAACTTTTTATGTATCAAGAAAAAACTCTAATTAACTAATCCTGAAAGTTTCATGTTGCTGTGATAACTCGAAGTATTTTTCAGGAACCTTCAAAAGTGTTTTTACAGGAATTTTAGGATTTTCTCTGGAATCAATGAGTAAAAAAATCCATAACTTCAGTTGTGAGTTTTTAATCAACTTCCAACTTGTTTCGTACCATGTAAAAGCTCTAAATAATAAATCCTGAAAGTTTCAAGTTGCTGCGATGGCTCAAAGTATTTTACAGGAACCATCAAAGTTGATATTACAAGAATTTTATAATTTTCTCAGGTCGTAATAAATAAAAATAGTATATTATTCAACAAGAGGGTAATGATAGCTATTACTCACGAAGGATGAAGTTTTGCACTACGAGCCGCAGGCGAGTAGTGTAATCATTCGAGTGAGTGTGGGATGCAAGCTCGCACATGCGATAAAATGAAAGCCTTCGCACATCCACTAATTTGTAACATATATTAATATGAATACATTTTATACTGGAAATACCCAGAAGGTAGAGCTTTCAAATGAGGTACGAAACCTGCATTTAACTTATAAGGTACTTGTCCCAAATACGGCCATGTTAAGAAAGTTTATTTTTTCCTAACATTATCCACCAAACCCAACAAAAATCACGACCTTATATGTGAAGTGTTCCGGTTCTATAACTTGAATATTAACTCCAATTTATTTATTTTTTTATATAAGTGGTGGTTTTTGCGTAAAATAAAGATGCACACCATTGGCCTTATTTGGATCACTATGCACCTAATAAGGTCACCATTAAAAAATGTTTAAAATAAATACAATTATTTATAAAAATGTTTTTTCTTCTTAAAATAGCGGGTAAAGCAGCCAAACAAGTTCATTTTTCTAAAATAATTCTTTATTACTAACCAAGCTTTCGATACTTTTTTGTATCTTCTTCAGGGCTAAAATTATACAGGGTGATTGATGGTCGATGGTAGGTTAGACGTTTATGGAAAAAGTAATGTTGAATATTTTTGAAAATTTGCATGCCCAAGTAATTGCTCCTGATCTATCTTTCTAAAATAATTTCAACGATGCGACGTTGCCGCTTATACCAAAAAGTAATATGAACTTTGAAATTTTAAATGAGACACCCTGTATATTATTGCATTTTTCGCCCCGCTATTACTTTCTGATCATTTTTGTATAATACTGTCCTATACCTATCTCTAGTGATTTTCGACTTATTAATTAATTTCTTTATTTTTTCTTCAAAACATTGCTCTAGGTAAATTTGTATTACTACGTCCCTGAGATTCGTAGAAAGTTCAAATTTTGGAGATAACTTAGGGAGGTCCTGCATATTACTTTTGAGCAAGAAAATTTGTTCTACATTATACAGGGTGGGTAAAAATTAGTAATTGTGCTGCCAATTGTGTGTACAAAAAAGATGAAAAGTGCACTTTTTTAAATAGAACACCCTGTATATTATGAAATATTATGAAAGGCAATTAAAATCCCTTACAAATGATGTATCATGTTCCTATACCTAAATAGTAAGGTTTCGGAAATACAGGCAAGTTTCTGAAAAATAGTAAATTGACAGTGTCTACATCTGTCATTGACATTACTCTATGCAATAGTGTGTGAAGTGAAATTTAACGTCTTCGCAATATTGCATAAAGTGTGTACTTTACGTGAAGTAGTAAAAAAAATACTGTCACAACCTCAGACTAATAATAAAACTAGAGGCCAAACATGCCATTTACAAATCGCCCAATGTTTACAATCAATCATCTTTTAGTCCATGACATAAGTAAGATAGAGATAGACCTATAAAATGGCAACACTGTTCAGTGGCGGCGAATTCAGTTTCCTCTGATTTTTTCCCAGAATTCAATAGAAGTTTTCCTCCATAAATATCCTCTAACTACGCCAATGTCAAGATTGAAATGATGTCAAATTTCTTACCGCCGAAATATCGAATTCTGTTTGGAATCCTTACAGATAATACATCGACGTACCATTGTTACTTTCTCCACCACACTTTCTACAGTTTTGAATCCAAAAAAAAAAAACACTCAAAATCACAAAAAAGCACAAAATTACCTTAATCACTTTCCAGCAACATTGTCAAATCCCTAATGGATGCCAAAAGTCACATAAAATCATCTGATTGGCTGCTCGTAGATGCAACGTTGCCGATGTGCCGTTTTTCGGGCCATATATTCCTGGTTATTCCAGAATTTTCGCCAATTTAAATTGAAAAAAGACTAATTATCTTTTTCAAAAAGGCGTTTTAGTTATGTTTCAACGAAGATTGATATAAAAAAAACATTTACATCATGTTAAAACATATTTTGAAATAATGATTATCCGTGAAAACATTTAATATTGAAAATCACATCGGATTATTGGCAACCGGGCATTTCATGCAAAAATCGACCTTATGGATGTTGGATCGCAAATTGTTTGTTTACTGTTGTATCTGTCGTTTTTAGTTGGTAATCTGAGGTCACAACCTATTTTGTTCCAACTGGAGGTTTGGGATCTTTTTTTCTTGGATTGGATTATTTCGGGATATTTTTCTAATGGCGTTTCCAATTAGTAGATTCAATTCACACTGAGTATATTTTCATCTCTTTCTCTCAGCTTGTTGTAAAAACAGATAGAAATACATTTTCTTTACGCTCATTCTACCAACCCGAATCGTCATTTAATAGCTATGTCACGATGAAACATAGGTAATTCAAACAATACAAACCACATGATTTTATAAAATGGCAGGTGATTGCAAATATTGAAACAGTTCATTGATTGGAACCATGGTTATTATCTAGGATTTAAAACAAATGCATAAAATGGTCCACTTTTTACAATATGCGATATGCAAAAATATTGTCATTATTTTGTTTTTGTCTCTTTCCTACTCACGGTGTTTTTGACAGTTCAATCCAATGACGTCATAGGCATCTATGGAAGTTGTCCATACATTTTACCATGACTATTTCCCTCCTGTTAATTTTGACCAATCAGAAGTGATAATTTTGGTGTCAAAAATAATTTTTAATTAAAAAAATAGCCTGCCATCAGCTGTTATTTGTTTTTTTTTGGCTCGCCAAAACTTTACAAAACGTCAAAAAGAAGAAATCTGCAGTCAAAATGTAGCAAGAGCAAGAATATGCAAAAAATTCAACGAAATGTACCATGATTTACGACCAATGAATTAAAGAAAATTTGTTCGGGCACAATAGTCATTTGTATACCAAGGCCGCGAAATGCCTTTTTAACGTACGTAGAAAAAAGTTAGCGCCGAGACCGTTTGCGGCCGAGGCAAGCGGCTGAGGCAAGATACTCTCAAGTACGCTGAAAAGTTTCGCGGTCATGGTATACACACTATTTTTTGTGCAACTATAAAAATTATGTAAAGTTACAGAAAAACTGTATGAATTTGACAAGGATTTGGCACATTTTGCACCAAGCTTAACCAAGCCTGTAACGTCTGATGTAGAAACAGCGTGAATGTTTCAGCCTACTTTCACGCATTCCCCAAGCTTCCAACCGAAGTGCAGCAGGTGATTTAGGCCTGAGCTATTATTATGTCTAGAAAATTTTTAACGATCATAATATGCATCCCTTTAAATTCAAAAAAGTTCAACAGCTGAAACTGAATGATTACCCACGTCAAATTCGATATTAAGAGACACTTCTGACACACACTTATGAGTATCTACACTTTCTAAAAAAAAAATTAATATGGACCGATGAAGCTAAATTTTCTAAAGAAGGTATTTTTTTGATGGGAGAAATCATCACTTTTGGATTAATCAGAATCCACATGCGGTCAAGAAAAAAAAGATCCCAAACCCCCAGTTGCAACAAAATAGGTTGTGATATTTTTCCTATTACCTCAACCACACTTTATGCACTATTGCGAAGACGTTAAATTTCACTTCACGCACTAGTGCGTGAAGTATTTCCTAAATTTATTTTTCTCACATATTTTATCGATAATAGAAAAAATGTATGCAATGAGTGTGTACAGTACCTTTTTTTACTCATGTGATTGTCGCACGTCACATTCGTGGAAAAAAGTTCATTTAACACACTTGTTACTGCTATTTAATAAGACATAATTTTTAAATAATCCAATTCTTACAGAAACTTGCCTGTATTTCCGAAATCTT